ACAATTACATTAACTGAGCAGCCTGTTTGATATAAGAAAAATAGTTATGGATAGTTATTTCAGGAAAGAAAACATTGTTGTACACATTATACATACTCCAAATTTTTAAAGCATCTAATGAGATAAACTTTTTTTGGTTTGGTTTACATGTTATTCCTCATTTGATAACATGGTCCAAAAAGCAATGATATGTTCTAACCCACATGTGTCAAACACAAGCCCTGTGAATCCAGCCCGCAAGGCAATTTCATGTGGCCCTCAAACCTCTCCTGCAGCTGCATCACCCCCCTTTTGTTTCCGCCCTCAACCTTGTCTCAGCAGTCGGCAGCAGAGAGGAGCAGAACCCCCTCACCTCTGCCTCCCCTGTTCTCAGCATTCAGCAGACTCTGGCAGCTTACTCCAGCCCTCCTCTGGTCCTCCTCCAGGCCCTGCACTTTTTGCTTCCAAGCTCCGCCCCAGCTTATTCCCAGCAGCAGCACAAGGTAAGGGGGTGCGCTGTGATGTAAGGAAGGGGGGGGCTCTTGACTTCTGATAGTGGGGGGGAGGGGGGCTCTTGACATCTGATGTGACGGGGGATTAGGGTGCTCTGGACATCTGCTTATAATTATGAGAATAATACAGTTTTATGCCAGTTGTAAAGGAGGGTCGCACACTGCTGGTATCATCCACAAGAAACTTTATAGTACTGTCTGGGCAGTCTCCAATAACGTTTCTAGTTATGACTAATAATTACTTACGTTATTACTAAAATCAGTAATAATCGAAAGCAGATGCAATTATTTAATATGATAAAGAGTAGATACCTTTATATAGTCTCACAGATAATACCGGCCCTTTGAGGGCAACCATAATGCTGATGCGGCCTGTGATGCAACTGAGTTTGACACCCCTATTCTAACCCAACAGCAACCATCCAGGTATCAATTTTCTACAAGTTTATTTTGACTAAAGCAAATAAAGCTCACCTGTGATTGGTTGTAAATGTCACTAAAGCTCATTGCACTTCATTATTACATGTAATGTTTATAGGGATAACTATAAATGTTTGAATGTGATTTTAAACCAGATTTTTCACCAGGCACCAGTGGTTAAAACTCTATTTCCTGCTAAGTATCAAGCTGATGCTTTGGATTCAATGCTTTCACTTACCCAGGCTTACCTTCTGTCTCACACAGTCTCTAATACTGAAATTGTATACTCTGACTTCACTGCACACTATGAGCTTTTCACAATGTACATTAGAAGCTGCAGCGGCGTATTTAACTTTGCTGCTGCCCTAGGCAAGGCAGCAGCGCCGCCCCCTCCCCCGCAGCTTCTCGGAAAATCCCCCCTCCCCTGACTGACCCGCCGCTGCTCATACAGCACCCCAGGGATGTGCAGCTTTGTCATAGGCAAGGCAGCAACGCCGCCCTCAGCGAATCTGCCGCTCCAGGCAAACGCCTTGTTTGCCTCGCGGCAGACGCCCCTGAGAAGCTGCAACAAGTCAAATAATGCCTCATTTCCAGGCTAGATTATGTCCAGCATCATCTAGCACTTTCATCTCCATCATTACTGTCCTTGACTCACCCCTGTTATTAATTTGATTTCAGTCCTTTCAATTGTGAAGGCTTACCATCACATGTGGAAATTACCTACGGTGGTCTGCATGCCTAGGAATTCCCACTCCTCCAGACTAACATCCACCCATCAAGGTATTATATTTACATTACTTCTTCCAAGAGCCATCCCACAGCTTGGATCTAGAGTACTGTGGCAGATAGCTGTGATGTGAACAACCTCACGACCCTCCCACCAGCCATGATTTGCCAGCATTGTATAGAGAAGAACACTTCTATTAATAAAAGGTATGTAATGAAAACAAAATTATTTTATTTAAAAATGGTATTAGAATAATGATAATAGTGGGAATCGATGAACCAGGGAATGCAAAATATAAGATTAAACTTCAAATCTACGGTGACAAATACCGTAGAGCTGGAAAGTAAAATAACATACTTTGTCAATAGTATGCATAGTATAGTTATTCATTTTCTTAAGCCTGCATAAGCTTTCCAGTTAATAATACAAATGGTGTATGTCAGGATATTTCCTACCTACCTGCATACATTTGATAAATGCATGGCAGATGAATGGGGTGGAGGGCCGCGGTGAAGACGGAGGCTTCCCTTCATTGTTATCAGTAGGGGCTGATCGATATCAGGCCCACTGCTTGCTGTTTTCATTCAGCTGCCGATGCAAGATTCCACAGCTGGACGTAACAAGAATATCTGTACCTGATATCAGTTATTGGCCTGAAAGGTGGCCCATAATCGGTAACGGTATCATTTCTGAGAAACCATATTGTTCGACCCCTATCCCAAACCATACATTTTCTGAAAGCACAGGACCAATAGAATAGAAAGATGGCACTGCTCATTTTTTAGGTCAAACCACAGTTGCACAAATGTTTATCAAATCATAATTTTCAATAAAAATAAACTAAAAACAAAATCAGCACATACAAAAACAAATTAGCAAGATTCCTACTAAATCTAAAAGGTTAAACTATATCGAGTTATCAACAAATGTTTTTAAATGTTAAATTGGGCCTTTTTTGCAAAATGGTAAAAAACAAGCGGACCACAAGACTGTAAATAAACAACTTATTCTATAAATCTGGAGGTTGGCTTCACACTTACAGTATGTGTTGTGGAAATGCGTGATCTGCAGCACCAGTTGTGCATTGTTAGTGTGTGTTGTGATAAAATTATGCAGGCATACATTTAATTGCAATGTAGCATATTACAATGCACAGCAATGAGTCACAAGGCTTTGCCATGCGCTGCCACAAAGTTGAATTAATTGTTTTAAAAAGTAAAAAAAAAGAAAAAATCAAGCACTGCAATGTGTTCTAACAATGCACAGCAGTGCATATGCATACCATACACCACATTATGAAGCACATTTATGTTGTGTGTGTGTGTGTGGTTATTTTTTAACTGCAGAGAAAGCTGCAGAGTGGCAGTTACAGTGGCAGAAAGGGAGGGTCTGATTTTCAACTAGTAGCTGCCATCAACGGCTTGTCAGCTGCTGATGACAGGCATTCTTTTGGAGAGGACCGTCAGGGAGACCCTTCTGATATAAGCTTATGGTCAGTGAAGAAGTAGAAGAAGGGTGAATGCCAGCAATGTAAGACATACTGAGCTGGCCAGATGGGAAGGTTTTTGTTCTGCTGTATGTCTTACATTGTTGGCAGGGAAAGGGTTAAAGGAATAAACCCCTATAGACTAGTTGATCTGTTTCTATCAAGCAATATACAAAGGCTTGCAACCATTGGTTATACATATAGAAGCATTTCTATGAGTTTCTATTTTATCTCTTCTGTTCTTTTATCAGTTAGGTGTGATATACTGCTGCATGGCATTATCCAGTAAAAACATATATAATTGTTATACAGGATGTATTTATGTGCATATAAACTAGCATTGTACCCGCCCTCTGCTGCAGTTCCCCATCAGGTCCATCAGAAGAGGGCGGGTACAATGCTAGTTTACTATTGGCTATTGCAAATTGAAATAGCCAATAGTAATGTCCCAATGCTTTTCAATGGGAAAATTCTTCTTTTTTTTTTTCTCTATTCTGAGATCGCTCGTGTCAGAATAAGGAAAAAAATAGACATCAGTGCTTCTCTCCTTGGCGGCCAGGAGCGGGAGGCTCCCAGAGCACCCGGGAGAGTTTTTTTTTCTTTTTTTTTTACAGCAGCAGAGCCGCCGGACAATAGGAAACTATTGGGCGGAGCTAGCTGTCACTGCTAGCTCCGCACAATCGTTCTCTATTTACTTTTTTTTACTTTTTTCACTCTTTTTCTGTTCTGCTCAGTCCCTCAGAGGGACCGAGCAGAACAGCCGAGCCGAATGCCGCTCAGCGACATTCGTCTATTCACTCACTGCTGTTCGGCATCTATAAGAATAGCCCGAACAGCAGTGAGAAGCCTGACGGAGGTTCGGCTCAGCCTATCCAGATGTTGGATCGGCTGAGTCGAACTCCTTCTGCACTTCGGGTCGGCCGAACATGCTGAGAATGTTCGGCCGACCCGAAGCCACTCGAAGCAAGCCGATGTACGGCTGAAATCAGCCGTACCAGCCTGAACTGAATAGCCGAACAGTGTTCGGCTCACTTCACTTCAGATCGGTCATTCACTCGGCTGCCCTTGCAGACCCCTATGAGTTCATGGTGTATGCTCATTGCTTATTTCCTGGTTAGTAAGGTCATATTACACAAATATATGTGTTTTTTAGCAATACAATAATACAGCTCTACATTTCACCACATAGTTTTTATGTTATTAGATTCATAGGTTGACTTAAATGAACATGTGTGCCCATTTACATCAATATATATTATATATATGGCAAGTTATACTGCATTGCAGCGCCTGGTAAGGTCCTTTTTAACCAGCAAGCTCCTGGAGCTGGCAAACATATTTGTGTATTTATTAAGATTAATAAGTGATTTGGAATCCGTGAACATTTTTTTATAACACTTTATTAGTTGTTAAACATGTAATGGGTCCACCCTTTGGACTTTAAACATGTAACATATAAACGTTGCTTTATCATTTATTTAAAAAGAAGTCTGTCTATGAATCAGTTTATTACACACACTATTTTATCTTTGATGTCAAGTGAAAAGAAAATACAATTATGGGAACTAATAAATGTGCAGCTGCTCCTTCTAGCTGCCAAATGATAATGTCCTTTAACCCCTAGCAACTCAAACTGCTGCAATGAGAACTTTTATCCGTATTCTTTCGTGGCTATTAATTTTCATTATGATTTGGAGACAGTAAATGTATTGAGATATTCATCATTATTAAAGAGTGAAGCATGCACATTTTAACTTTCTCATTATTATATGTCTAACCTTTAGCAGCAATGTGGTGTGTTTAATTCAATTAATCCATTGCAGTTTTAAAATAATTGTACTGTTTTTGTTAAGTGGCAATAAAAAAAATACTTTACCAGTTAGAATAACATCAACGAGAACATGTTCATTTGTGGGATTCTTAAACGAAATGCTGACGGAGGCCAAACTGCCAACTCTAGCACTTATGCTTGCAGGATCCATGGGTTGAGGAATGAGGCCAATGCCAGACAAATGGAATGTCCACTCTTCAAGCTGATAAGATATAATATTTATCAAGAAAATAAACATGTACCTGCAGAACATGGCAAACAAAGATAAATAGCATGTGTAAAATCAAAGTAAAGGACCCCCTTAAACACATGACCCACGAGCTCCAGAGCTATAATCGTATTTGCTGTGCTTAGGCACTTATATCACTTTGCAGGTGTAATATAATGATTTGCTGTTTTGGAGGTTTATGGTGATCTCTATCTCTTCCACTCATTCTAGAGGGGTCATCACATGCATAGCAATCATGTGCAATGATGCTTAGGCCCTATCAATATGCAATTCCACAAACTTAATTTTGCACAAACATTTTAAAGCTGAATTAAACTTTTAGTTTAAATCATTCCAAGTACATCAAAACAAAAGGTGTGAAAAGTCTTACAGTTCATTCTCTTTAGAAACCATCCACAGTCAGAGTGGAAAAGTCTGTCCTCTGCTAGCATGTTGTAAGGAAGGTCCCTTGCTCTCTGTGTGGAAGTAGTGGTCGAACACACAGTCTGCTAAGTCAGACCTATAGCTCTGTGACCCCAAAAGTTCATGCTCGCTGCTGATTCTAGAGCTCTAGGTGTAGCTATGCAGTGGGGTGTTAGGGAGTCAGAAAACAGTAACAGTAAGTAAAAACAGAGGTAAGAAGGTATATTTAAAAAAATATGTGGATGCCCCTGTAAAAATTTATAGAAGTAATGTGTAATTACAATTATCCTACTACTAGATCTGTACTTTGCTTAGGTGTGCATTATTATTATTGCAGTTAAACATGCTGCTTTACACAAACTGTATGCAACAACATGATTGTGTATAGCTGTACTTATACCTGTACAAAGATGCTCAATGATGGGTGCTTGTGGTTACCAACAGCCCTGGTTACAGTACATGGCTGATGTCTAAACATGTGGATTTCCAGCTGCTGGAAATATTAACAATTTTACCTAATGAACCCTGTTTCATTATACAATTTTTTTTCTAGTTAACTAGGCTAACTGCAAAACAGTGAATACTCAGCAGCTGATATAATGTTAAGTCTTGTGAAAGGAAATTATTGTGTCCCCAGCACTATAAATTCAGAAAAAATAATAAACATTCTATATGTCAATACTAAAAAAAATCAGCTTAAAGTTTTCTAGAAAAGTTTATAAGCATTACCTTTAAAATTGTCAGCTGGAAGAAAAGTGATCTTTTCATAAATTTTTTTTTACTATTTCAAGTAAAGGGCATGTTGGCCTGACATATGAGGATGTTGCTACAAATATATATTTTAGTATTTGCTTTGCATTGATTTTGGCCTTTTTGTATTATAGCTAAATGTCTTTTCCAATTATTTTCCCAAAATTTTTTTATGCCGTTATAAAACCGTCAGTTTAATGGAAAGTGTTGGTGTGGCTATAAAATATGTTATGGCTTTTAAAAAGTGATATTGTTCCACTTCAAATAAGTAAATCGGACATTCTGACTCCACATGCATAGAGGTGCAGTTGAAAAGCTAAAACCTTTGACAGCCGGTGGCCCTGAACTTGTTAGCTAGTGTGGTCTGCATGGAATGACAGCAACTGATCAATAATCTTTAACAGGTCAGCCCCCAAACAAAACATGACTATTGAAACATGTTCAGCCATTCAATTTGAATGAATATAGCGCAATTTGAAAAAAAAATCTAAACTGAAAAAAAAATTACATTTCAATGAAACATACTGATTTTCTTACAGGTGCCATGAGATTTTATTATGCATTAGAAAAGAATATGAACCATGTGTTATGGCTTTCTGTCATTGTCTATCTCCTGCCTTTATACGGCTTGCATTATTACATAAGGTATTCAGCAATTAGTCTCCAAGATTTTATCTTCTAAAATGTTCCTTATCCATTCAAGATACTGTATGCAGCCTATTGAATTTCTTGTGGTGAGTGGCTGAATAAAAGTGATAGTAGCTATGTACAGATTAACACTTTCATTCTGCTCCCAGTGTGTAGTTTTGTCATTGGTTGCCATATTATTATGCACTACTAAGTAAAAGTAATATAAAATGAAGAGCAGATTGTTATTTTTGGAAGTGTTTCTGCCCTCTTTCAATCCTTCATTGTTGAAATATGAAAACTACACAAACAGCTAGTTCTTGGGTGAAGACAGCACATTTCCTAAGAGCTTCTTTGCCAATTTCATTAAGGATCAGGTGCATGAGAACAGCAAACAACCTTTACAGATGTGCCAGCAGCTTATGGGCATGCCTGGTATGTTTGTTGATTGTAGCATGTTTACTGTGTCCACAACTCCCTAACGATGCTGTCTTCATAATTGTATATTTGGAAACAGCTGAACAGAAAATGATTTACTGTCTCCATGATGCCATATGAAATTATTTGTAAATTGTACCTAAATATCATCATCAAAATATGTTGTTCAACAGTGTTCGATAGTACATTTATTTTGTTTTTACATCAAAGAAAGTAAATTAGCAGAAAATACTGGAGGATTACCAAGGAATACTGGATTTCCACTTTCTGGACACAACATTTGACATTGCAATGAACAATTCTTTGGAAATATTTTTTATCAGTATTAAGTGAAATTCACTAAACTGTAAATGGTGTGTTAAATGTAAATTTTAAATGAGCTACAGCAAAAAGTTAATCTCCAAATTCAATGGGTTGCTGCAACTTAATGATGAAATGCATAATATACACTGAGTGGCCAGATTATTACGACCATCAGTACTTCGTTGGGCCACGAGATAACTCCACGAGATGACTTTGTTGTGACTCCATGAGATGTTGAAAGGTGATGCGAGGAATCTGACACTGCACTGTTGCCCTTCTGTTGTCTTGTACCACTCTTGCCACTCTCCGTTCTGCCCTAACATTGATTAGTCGCTGACAGCCACAATTCGCACATTCAGACCCAGATTTTCGGTTGACAGTCCAGTCTTTAAACACTTTAACAATGAGCCCCTCTTGAACATTTAACGAATTCTGCTGTTTTGTTGATACTCGCTCCATGGCTCGCGCCAACAATCATCCCACGTTCAAAGGCTGTTAAATCGCGTTGTTTACCCATATCTTCAGGAAAAAAATCACTTCTACTGTCGTGGTAAACAACCTGCTTCCCTATTTATAATGGTCTGGCCCTCTAGCAACTTCAGCGCGAAATGATAGCTAATTATAGCTAATTTGCCTACAAACGTCAGGTGGTCATAATAATCTGGCCACTCGGTGTATTTTCAGCTATAAATAAAAAAGTTAAACGACATGCTAAATATCTACTCCTGTTGTATGAATAAAACATGACTGTGCTTTTGTTGTTATGTATGTAATCTTTAGTGCCTCCTAACAATGTTTGAATGGAGTTATTAGGCTTTGTATGGTACAATTTATGATTTTTAGGCCCATCTATAGTGTCCCTTGTCAGACAAATGTATTGCACTTAAACTTTCAAGATGAAACAATATTATGCTAATTAACTTTAGTGACAAGTTGATAGTAGCCTATGGTTTTTCAGCATATGAATTACAAGTAAGGTGTAATGTATTATCCCATTCTTACATATCCTTTTTATTCTGCTACTGTCCCTATAGAACCAAGGTCCTAGATGGATTTTTTTCAACCTCTGTTAAGGTGGAAGTATATCTTGCTATGTCCTTTCCTATGTGTACCAAACAGTAGACCTGTCACTCATTCTACCTTGCTAATGGATATATAAGGACAGGTGGGTTGGCATATTTAGAGTCTGGTGAAAGAACCACAATTGAATTGCTGGGTTTTTCCCTGTCTCCATGGGCATAAATCAAGCTACGGCAGGGCCTATGAGTACTTCTGAGGAAGGAATTACCCTTGGAATGAGAAAACTAGAAGGAAGGTAGAGAGAGCATCCTAATTTTGGGAACTATTTGCACACTGGTAAACAGAAGCCTATAACAAAAGAAAGTTATTTTGCTCTTCATTAAAAAATGAAATCTTCTACCAGTTTGCTGGAATATACAAGAAATCATCTATTCAGTTAACCTTTATCAGTTGCCACATATTTTTGGAGTAAAGGTTAAGGGGGTTATTCGCAAAGCTGCTGTAGGCTGCCGAGTGAATAACCGCCCAGAAGTGAAGTGAGCCGAACTCCGTTCGGCTATTCACTTCAGGCTTGTACAGCTGATTTCAGCTGTACATCGGCTGAAATCAGCCGTACATCGGCTTGCTTCGGGTCGGCCAAACATGCTCAGCATGTTCGGCCGACCCGAAGTGCAGAAGGAGTTCGGCCTATTCTCATAGATGCAGAACAGCAGAGAGTGAACAGCCGGATGCAGCTGAGCGGCATTCAGCTCGGCTATTCTGTGGGAAAAAATAGAAACCGATTGGGCGGAGCTAGCAGTGAATGCTAGCTCCGCCAAACTGTTTTCTATTGGCCAGAACCAGCTGTCATTACAATGAGAGCTTGTCTGAGCCGGCAGGGATATGAAATCTGGCTCTGCTAAGCTCTCATCCTAATGACAGAACAGCGTCCCCTGGTTACTAGGTACTAGGTTACTAGGACGCTGCTCTGTCATTAGGATGAGAGCTCAGCAGAGTCGGCTTTCACATCACCGCTGGCTCTGCTAAGCTCTCATCGTAATGACAGATGGGCATCCCAGCGTCCCTGGTTACCTGGTAACCAGGAACGCACATCTGTCATTACACACTGAGAACCCAGCGGAGCCGCCGTGATATCACGGTGGCTCCGCCGGGCTCTCAGTGTAATGACAGATCAGCATCCCTGGTTACCTGGTAAACAGGGACGCTGATCTGTCTCTACAAGTGGCCGGAGCCAGCCGTGAGATGACGGCTGGCTCCGCCCAGCTGTCAGTAGCAGGCTGTCGGCCGGGCTCAGTCGAGCCGAAGCATATGAGCCGCTCGGCCAACTTCGAGAGCTGTACGGGCTATAGTGAATAGCCCATACAGCAGCCCTTCGGTTCTACTGAACCGAAGGGGTCCTGGGGCCCAAGCTAGCCGAAGGATCAGCTGAAGGTATGGCTAGATCCTTCAGCAGCTTTGTGAATAGACCCCTAAGTTTTATTTATCTGAACCCGACTGGACATTCTTTCTTATATACCGGGATGATGGAGAAAAAGAGAGAGAGGCCAGGTATATGCTCTGACTTAATTTGCTCCCCCGCAATTCACCTATCACTCTGCCTTCTAGACTTTACACTAACCTTGTAAGAGGCCACATAGTCTCCTCTTTCAATGCTTTTACAGTCTGTGAGATAAGAGACAGACATAGTGTGCCAAAATGTCAGATCTGTGTTAAGACCAGGTGATAATTAATGTGCACTTCACCTTCAGCAGGTGAAGGTGAGGTGCCCCCAGAAATGTAAATGATGGATTATGTGGTCTTAACAGGAGGCTTATCCCCAGCAATGGTGAACTAGGAACTATAGAGCAGTAAAGGTAAATCACCAAAATTCATTACTGGGGGTAAGCAAAGCCAAGCATCAAAACCATATGGTGGACCATGTGCTTATTTATAATACAGCCAAGGTCAGGGCAGGCAGGATACTAGTGAGGTCAGAACAAGCAAGTGGTCAGGTTCAAGAAATCCAGTCCATATGGATGCACCTAATACAGGTATTTGTCAAAATAGAGTGTGGGGGCAATGGGGTCAGCATTTCATGCAACACAGAAGAAGGAAAGGTATGCAGCTCAGACCCTGTGATTTTACTCTACTGAATGGTAGGCCTTTACAGGCATTTTTCTACTTGTTTCTGCAGCTTTTAATCACTAGTGCAGATAGAAACTGCTAAATAAAGCTAACAAAATAGTAATAATGAGAGGTAAAGTAAAATAACTCTTCATGCCCATTAACACTTCTAATGAATTGATAGTAAACAAATTCATCAGTTGTATTTCTGAATTAAAAGAGAATTTGAAGGGAATATTACTAGTTTGCTGCTGTATATGACCTTTGGCTTTTGCACTATACAGTTCCATACAAACTAGTCTTCAGGCTAAGTTTAATAGAATGGATGTTTTTTTAACTCTATTGGATATTTTATTTCATCATATTTTTTTAAGGTTCAATTAACAAACATATTGCCTATATGTAAAAGTGTGTCTCCTGTATGGTATAATGTAATTTGTGACTAAAACATTCATAGCTAAAAAAAGAAATAATAATACATGATAATGAAAATCTTGCATGTTTATGGTTTTGTAAATTGAGCCATTTGTGATTCTTTTAGGAGGGAGTGGTAATTACCACTACACTACTCATTTATTTCTATAATATCTGTTTCAAGCACAAAAGGCAAAAAGTAAAAAGAAATACTCTGGGATGATACATTGATTTACCCAGAGGATATTAACATGATATAAGCAAATGTAGTAAAAAGAAAATGTGATAAAATGTTTAAGATGCTTGTTTAACTTCTTGATTCCCTTTCACATTGTCAAAATATATTTTATTTTGGAATTTAAAAGATGGCCAGGAATCAGAAAGAAGATCCCAGATCTTTATTGTAAAGCACTTGTCATGCACTTTAAAGCAGGAACAAATGAAGCAGATAATAACTCAGAGCTGCTACTCTCAATTCACCAAACAGGCACAATCAGAAACAGTTAAAGCTTACCATAGAAGAACTATCATTAGCTGATTTTAGATTAGTCAGCTACCCAGCTATGAGATGCCTTAAATTGCTAGAACTGTCAGCTCAGATACATTTAATCAGTGAAATCAAGGGAAGAAAATCAATGGCATTTTTCTCTAAGGTTAAAAGTTGTTTCAGAAGCTATGAAGAGTAAAAAAAGAATATTCAGTGTCATTGTTAAAGATGGCTATCCATCAGCTCTCAAGCACGTAACATTTGTTGTCCTTTCAGCATTCATGCAATTAGCCAGCTACAGTAGGTCAGTGTCAGTTTGGTGGATATTATGCTGCAAGAAGGTGATGGGGGAAATTCCAATAGGATAAAAATGTTAATGTCAGGACATGGAATAAAAGAGTAATCACTGTACTAAGAAAATGTGATAAAGGCCAGGACCACAGCATTGAATAATGAATCTGAATGACATAATAGATAAGTATTTCCCATACTTAAACAACAAACCATGCTTTATATTAATCAGCAACAAGACATATGATATTGTACAATTGGACTATCATACTGTAGAATATACTACACTGATATATCCAAAATCTTAATTTATGCAAAGATCAATATATTACCCACAATACCTGGGCAACAATTGTGAATTCACCAGCTAAAGATGGAGTATACACTGCAGTAAATGTTGGTGTTTTCAACAGTTGCTCGCCTACTGAAAACTCCACTTTTAGTCATACAAAAAAAACAAAGAACTGGGGCATTTAATCGAGACTATATTAGTAATCAACTGTTTATTCTATGCCAAATAGAACACCGATCAGGTTTTATAAATGCTCTTAAATACCTCAAATGGCAAGTTGTTGAAAAGAATGGGGCAGTGGCTGACAAGGACATGGTAGATAGCCAAGCTAATTTGAAATCCAATATTACCTCATTCTAAGTTCCAGTCAGAAAGGGACCATCTCTGAGATGTTCAACAAAGTCTTTTAAAAAGAGCAACTGTCTCCAGTCATTATGTGACACTATGAAACCTACTGGACGGAATGTGGAGAAATGTAACTTATTGACTATCTTTCGCATAATACCACTGCCAGAGCACAATTCTGACATGTTTTTTATGAATTATATACATTAACTACTGTGATTTTTGGTGACTACTCTGCATCACTGAAAAGTGACAAGGTATCTGGTATGTTAACAGAAAAAGTTGCAACTGTTAATTAGGTAATAAAACTCAAAAATACCTTTAACAAAAAGTTTGGTGGAAAGTAAGCATACAAAAACCATCTCTCAATTTGCATGAAAGAAATAAGGTGCCTACAAAGTCTACAGTATAGATATTAATGATCTGCATGTTCTGAAAGTTAAAGTATACCTAGCATAGCATAGAAGCTGCCCTAACACTGGGACAGAAACATCCCTAATGAGAAACCCAGTTTAATACTGGTGTGCAAATGCTCAAACTCTTGATAACAGATGCTGCTGGTGAGTCGAGGACCAATTAAAAAAGATTGGCCATAAAATATATGTTCAATAACAGAAATAAAGTAGAGTTGCATGACACATTCATATAACTATTATCAAAATATTTCAGCATGTCTGAGACTGAATGATGGCTTAAATATTACCAAGTGAGGAATAATTAGGACTTGTGGAATGTACAGTAAAAAGAGCTGACAGGTGCCATGTGAGTTATTGATGATTCTGCTATTAAATGTGATGGATTAAAGAGTTTTTGTAAGATGCCTTCTGCTGACCTCATTTTAAGAAAATGTTTGTGGTGCATGCAACACTTGTGTACATCTGCAAATCTCCATGTTCTGCAATTAATATTTATGCTACTATGATATTCGCATTTAGATAGGTATACATATTTATAAATAATTATTTTACACATTGTAAGAGCCTACCTGTGGGTTTGTAAAGGTGATGGATGCTGTCTGATTTCCTTTTCCAAGGGCAGATGGGCAGAACTGAACATGCACTTCAGTAGTAGAACTGGGTGGTACTAAAAGCTGTTAAAACAAAAAGCCAGACAGTCATCTTGTACCAGTATTTCAACTCTGCTGAAGTATCTTCAATGCTGATGATTAATGCGCTCCACTGAAGCTTTCTGTACTGTAAGCATTCACGGTCTGCTACACTGATAAACAACTGTAAATGTTCTTTATTGATGACAATGACTCCAGTTACTAGCCTTGTATTATGCTAAATGGAATGCTATTTATGAATTTTGATTGTTCTTCCGGCTCAGTAAAATTGGAAGCAAAAGAAGAAAATGCACCACCATCAACTAAAGTTGCAAACAATAGTCACCAATAGTATATTTTGACTTCAAAATATAAAAAAGTGGTCATAAAGAAACAGTAACTCCCCAGCAAAGCTTTCACACAGTAACTAGCATGAATTATCAAATCTGAGGAAAGAAAATCATTTACCTTCAATCAGTGAATTTAACCCCCATGCCGGATTTTCCTGTTTCCTGCTCCACTGTGTCTGCCATTGGAATCTCTCAGCAGGCCATAATTCAAGTATATTAAAGTTTCAGTTTTGTATCAAATCAATATTTGGTGTAGATCTCAAACACAAAGGGGTGTTCCCCTTTATGAACTCCAAGGAATGGATTTCATGGTAAGTACAAAAATCCTGTTTTCTTTCTTATTCATTCAGAGATAGATTGTTGGACATATGGGATGTCCAAAAGCCCCTGCAACTGAGTAGTGGGCAACGGCAACAAAACAGTAATAAGCCAACACACCAACAGTGTAAAAACTTTGCCACCAGGCACAGACTCCAAGAAGCACTTATAGACCTCCTTAATAGGAAAAGGTGGAACCTTGCCTATAATCTTGTATGGTGAGTTTTCTGAAAGAAATGGTAGAACATGAAGCTGGTTTTCCAGCAGTGGCCAAAAGAAACATATGCAGAGCATGAACCTCATCTAAGCAGCAATGACAAAAAGAGAGTCCGCATTTTAATGGAAGCAGTGGCTGATAAATATGCAGTGCATGCACCATATCCAAACAGTAATGGCAAATCTATTTTGGATGTATTTAGGCTGGACAGAGAGATAAAAGCACTATGTCCTGGTTGAGGTGAAAAGCAGAAACTACCTTAGAAAAAAAGAAGGTTCTCGGCCTCAAGACGACTTTGTCCATTTGTAAGTTCAGGAATGGTTATTTGCAAGAAAAAGCAGTTAACTCAGACACATGTCTATCAGAGGTGAAGGCAACAAGAAAAACAGCCCTGAGTGTAAGACTGGAAAGGAGAATATCCCTAATGGCTTCAAAAGGAGATTTTTAGAAAGGTGAAAAAAACAAATTCAAATCCCAGAGTTACTGTTGGTTGTACTGTGTGCCTATAGGTGAAACACCCTGCATATAGACCTTAATGGAGAACTATGAGGTGAGTGCTTTTCACTCATCCTCATAGTTCTAGCCGACCTGTGACAATTAAACTGTCACAGGTCGGCTCAGTAGATCGGGAAGTGAGTGAACACATACCGGCGTTCGCTCACTTCTCGATCCTGTCACGGCAGAGAGCCGTGACAGGGGAGGGACTGGATTCCCCCCTCCCCGCTTCGATCCTCCAGTGCTGACTGGCGGAACAGACGGGGAGGGTACAGCTGGATCTGCCTCTAGATAGGCAGAGCCAGCTGTCACTCACGCAGCTGGGTGGATCCAGATATAATTGTCGGGATCCGTTTCAGCTGCGGCGCCTCAGTATACCACGAGCTGCAGCACGCGGTATACTGAGCTTTGGGTAACGGGGGGACACTAGTTTTTTACTCCCATTACCCTTCGGAGAACTATGGGGAAAAGCCCTAACCCCATAGTTCTCCTTTAACTGGAGAATGACAAGTAATCGATCTTTGGAATAGGGCAGCAGGAGCCAAAATCTATCCATGAATGGTACTGAGGGTCAAATGTAAAGATGGACCAGCTGGAAGAAAAGACAAAATTATTCCATGGAGTATTCCCTGGCATGAACGTTTTTTGCCTCACACTAAGTAGAGTATGCCTTCCATGTGCAACAGTAGATTCTGAGGAAGCTAGACTTCCTACCTTTCAAGAGTGTAGGAATCACCAAATCAGAAAGGTTTCTATCTCTTAGGACCTGAGCCTTAACACATGCCATCAAAGCAAGTTACTGTAAAGCAGGGTGGTGAACAGGTTCTTGGGAAAGAAGATATGGTCTATCTGCAAGAGCCTACAAGTCGTCTGACAGGAGTCTGATGTGGCCCAAGTACCACACCTTACTGGGCCAATTTGGTGCTAAAAGAATTACCAGCATGCCCTCCATCTTAATCCTGCAGAGCAGTCAAGGAAGGAGTTGAAAAGGAGGAAAGGTATAGATCAGATTGTACTGAGCCTTTAAAGACAAAGTGTAGACAAACTTGCTCAGTTTGTTGTTGAATCTGGAGGCTAAGAATCAAGAAGTCCAAGACAGAATTTTCTCAGCTTCTCTTTCGACAGCAAGATGTCTGTTGTTTTCCTGATGGTTGAAATATGTCACTGCTGTGGCTTTATCTGATTGAATCTTGATGGGGTGACCCTGTATTCATAAAGTGTTGAAGGGGCAACTATTATTGCTCATGTTCCTGTATATTGTTTAAAAGGAGCTTTATGGGGGGCGTGGCTTGATGGCCGACTGAACCAGCCACACTTTCTAGGAGCTCCGCCGGGACCATCAGAATAAGCAGCCTAACACCCACCTTACCCTGACGAAATGGGCAAATACGGACCCCGCCGGTCCTCTAAAGCACAGCCGCGGCAAAAAACGAAAAAAAAACCCGCCAAAGACGATAAAATCGTTCTTTGGCACGGATGACCCACAGGGGACCCAGGCGCACAAGATGACGCTTCCGGAGCACCGGACTCCTCGTGGAGGGTCGACAGCGGAGGCACACTCCCGGCATGTGCTGGAGGGATCGGACCTGTCGCGGTCTCCCTCCGGGGCCTCATCCGGATCTCAGAGGGATGGATCTCCAATGAGCCGCAGATCATCGGGGGGAGAGTCGGAGGACGGAGTAAGTACGGGGACAGGAGAGGGGAGAGAGACGGAAGGGCCTCCGTCCACTCATAGCGTGGTAGGAAGATCACCCGGGCATACTCACCTGGTAGATGAGGTGGAGGATCTCCCCATGAGCCCGGAGGACCCGATTCCTCTCCCGGATACTCCCCCGACGGCGTCTACAGACTCCTGGGCCTCACCGCCAAGCAACGTGCCTAGGCCGCAGAGGAATCTCAAAGCCGGGGCCTCTAGTAAGCAGCAACCCAGGGCATCGCAACAGCCCAGTTCCCCGTTTCTTACGCCACAGCGCCACCTACCGGCCACGAAAAATCAAACACCAAAGCAGACTGAGACACTGCAATCAGCACGAAAGCAAGCAGTTTCAGAAAAGCAGGTTCCCCACAACGCTACAGAAACGACAGATGCTCCGCTCCTATCTGAACCTGATGAATCGGAATACTCTTCATGGCGGGATTACATTAAACACATCCCCACAAAAACAGACTTTAAACTCCTCATACAGGAGGTCAGAACAACATGTGAAGCAGAAATACAATCACTACGGGATGATTTCAGGCAATTGGCCCAACAGGTGACAGATGTGGACAAGACATGCAGGTGACAAAAAAAGTGGTTTATAAGATACAGTCGCAACAAATCGATCATTCCTTTGAAATTCGAGAGCTACAACGCAGGGTTGAAGACCTAGATAATAGAGGAAGGAGAAATAATCTGAGAATCAAAGGGCTCCCAGAGGCAGATGGACCAGAAGACCTCCACGCCAAATTGCAAATTCTATTTAACACTGTGCTTGGTACTCCGGCATTGCAAAAAGTGGAGCTAGATAGGGCGCACAGAGCGCTGCGTCCTAGAGGCGCCTCCTCTGCACCGCGAGATGTCATATGTCGACTTCACTATTTTCAGGTAAAAGAGGAAATATTGCGAAAGGCTCGTAATATACCGGACATAAACTTTGAGGGGGCCCCTCTCCAGATTTATCAAGACCTCTCGTGGTACACATTACAACAACGCCGATTACTACAACCTCTGCTAACACTGTTACGAGACAACAATATCCCATATCGCTGGGGCTACCCGTTTAGCCTCACAGCACGGAGAGATGGAAAAAGCGCTACTTTAAGGGTTCCAGAAGATTTACCCACCTTTTGCGCGGATCTGCGATTGGGTTGCCCAGTTCTGCCAGGATGGGACCCTCTGCCCAAATTGAGTCAGGAACCTCCAACCAGGCAAAGGGTCACCCCTGGGAAACGGAATATCAGAATGGATGTGACTACAACTACTCCCTTTCGTAGACCACCGCGCCCGCGAGAGACCTCCACACCGAGACGCCCACGCTGAGGCTAATATCCCTCTTCACCGAGACTGCAATGGTCGACAGAAGGCTTTGTATTCACTGGAACTATGCTACAGGACGATATTTCCCTTGAACCCCTCTTCATAGACTGGTGGGGAGGCCAAGGCCAAGGGGAACATGGACACTGGTCCCCCACCTTACTGGGATTACATACCGGTTCGAAAAGACACAGGACAACTCTTGTAGAGCAATAACAATTGAGATCCCTGTCAGGGGGTTAGGGATAGGTTGCCCATTTGATATCCATATATTAACGGTTAGGCTGCAATTCATAAGCACTTGTCTAGAGCGGTTCCCGGGACCGGACGCCTAGGAAACTGGTCCCTTTAGAAGTTATAATATATTAGATAAGATCTCACCTCACCCACCCCGCCTCCTTAGATATCATAGTGGGAATTGTGAAATATTATAGTCTTCAAAACTATTAGTAGATGATAAAGGTATACTAACGATCTTAGGAGATGGTAATATTCCCACCAACTGGACTGCACTATCACATGGTTTATTCATATGCTTCAAGGGAGGTTATTAACCCCCCATGGTTAGTCTATATGACTGTTTTTGTTAACGTTGTTTTTTTCACTCTTAGATTGAGCCAACTCAACTTCATTCTTTTTCACCCTCTGCTGACACTCCAGCGCTTCCAGGACCCAGTCTTCCTCTACAACACCCGTCACCACAGAGGCCAGGTCAGTTCCATGCACCCCTTCCTGTGTGGGAGGATACAAACATTAGCACTCCATTTAGGCAATCACTATCACCCAACCCAACACAATGGATCCTACTGAAATTAAAATGTTCTCTCTCAATGTCAAGGGATTGAACTCCCCCTTTAAGCGCAACATGGCATACAGGGAACTTAAGAATGCTAATCCA